TCAGTGTTTACTTGATACTGCGTTATTGATTATGCTTTGGCTGGGGCAGACCCCAAACAGATGCACCAAATCAGTGAGGCTGTTAGGAAAATGTGGTTTTCATGTGCACTAGGAACAAGTACATTTTTACATGGGAGAGGATGGGACAGGGTGTCTCCTGTATTTTTTATTTTTTTGAGATGGAGTTTTGCTCTTACTGCCCAAGCTGGAGTGCAGTGGCGAAATTGTGGCTCACTGCAACCTCCACCTCCTGGGTTCAAGCTCTTCTCCTGTCTCAGCCTCTTAAGTAGCTGGGATTACAGGCATGTGCCACCACACACAGCTAATTTTGTGTTTTTAGTTGAGACGGGGTTTCTCCATGTTGGTCAAGCTGGTCTCAAACTCTCGACCTCAAGTGATCCGCCCACCTCGGCCTCTCAAAGTGCTGGGATTACAGATGGTGAGCCACCGCACTCACCCTCCTGTTTTTTTTTAATTTAGTATGTGGCATGTTGAAATGGATATGTTCTTTACTATGATGCTGAAGTATTTGTATATTAAAAATAAAATTTGGTCTAGGTCTTTTGAAGCAGTCCTAGTGAAACCCATCACACAATATAGTTTTAAAACCACTACACCATGCTGTAATGTGTGTGTACATGTATTGTTTAATTATGTTATATAAAGTTAATGAAAAAGCAGTCAGATTATAAAAGTAATTTGAATATAAATCTTCCATTTCATCTTAAAGTGTTGTCTTATCCAGATTGGGGGCCATTCCTATTATTATTAATTATTATTATTATTATTATTTTGAGACGGAGTCTTGCTTTGTCACCCAGACTGGAGTGCAGTGGTGCCATCTTGGCTAACTGCAACCTCCGCCTCCCGGGTTCAAGCGATTCTCCTGCCTCGGCCTCTTGAGTAGCCAGGGTTACAGACGCAGGCCACCATGCCCAGCTAATTTTTATATTTTTAATAGGGATGGGGTTTCACCATGTTGGCCAGGCTGGTCTTGAACTTATGACCCACCCGCCTTGGCCTCCCAAAGTGCTGGGATTACAGGTGTGAGCCACCACACCCTGCTGATCATTCCTATTGCAGAGAAGGTTAATTTCAGCATCAGCAATCTATCAATATGTAGTTAGAATTATCTCCTAAATGGCAGATTAATAGAATTCTTGACAGTTTTTAAGACCTTAGAAGATTATTCATGGAATTAAAGAGACCTTTTTTTCTAATCATTTTATTCTGATTTCCTTATTTTATTTGTTCATCATGGGTTGGCACTGTTGAGAATGAGAAAACTATAGTAGAAGATTTGGAGGAAGAAGTGAATTGATAAACAAATACTTCTAAAATAGTCATCTCAAGCATGAAGATCATATGAGTTTTAATGGATTAGTATCACCTTTCTATGGGAGAGAAAGTATTTTAACTAGCACATGGTTTACGTTTGGGCACTTACCCAAAGACAGGAGAACTTTATAACTCTACCAGTCGTCGTTGTAGTCTGAAGACTTTTTCCATTTTCTGATTCTTTGGAGAAAATAATGGTTTCTCCTTAATTTATGTACAGTACTCAAAATGTGTAATAATGTGTATTTTGATTTCATTGAGTGCTGATATATTCTTTTTAGATTGGCTTGCCATAATTTTGTGGCATTGTGTAAACTAGGGGTCATTTGATAAGCAAGATGTTTCCAGTGCTATCTATTTAGAATCATATTACAATTTTACTATGTTGTTTTTGAGCAGTGGCCATTCATTCTTGAAGAGAGTAAGGTATGATCATTTAACTCTTCGAATTTAATGTAAATGCTTGTTATTTGCAAGCATCTGCCTTTGGTAGTATTTAGGCTGTTAGACAAATAATAAACCATAGATTTGAGAGAAGTAAAATGGAAAAAGAAGTTATGTAGCAGAGAGGTGTTGACTTATCAACACTGAACACAATATAGGCAGTCCCAATATAGGCAGTCCCAGATGGAAATGTGCCCTGCTCTACCCTGAATCTTACTGCAGTGATGCTTAGTTCCAAAGTTCTCACGTTGTTCTCTTATTTATTAATTTGTATTTGTCTAACCTTTATTGCCATGTTATGAGTTTCTTTAGGTAGCAAATTCATATTAAAGTTTTTTCCCTTATCTTCCCCACATTCCATAACCCATTATTGGACTGATGGTAGTTAGTTTTTAATAACTTCTTAGTTGACTGTTTTATAAATTAAATAAATTAACTTATTGTTTAAGTCAATGTTTTATAAATTAAAACACATTAATTTTTACATATAATTTATTCATTTATGTATTCAAAATAATTTTGAAATTGCTCTATGAGGACAAGGACCACTTAGTTTGTTAACAGACTTTCTTGATTAATGAACTAAGTGGCCCTTAGTTCGTTAATCTAAGTTCGTTAATTCTAATGTGTCCTCATAGAGCTAGTAGCAGTCTAGAAGAAAAACCTATATGGTAGGATAACTTTTTTTATTTTCCCATCCCTATAATAAGTAAGTAATGTAAATCAGATAACTCAGAGCTATCTTGGAAATAATAAATTTGCCACAGACTCTTTTGCCAGTTAACTAACTGGTTTCTACTGCATTTTAGTGAGTGAAGTACATGCTAAATGATAGAACATTTTTATTTTTAGGAGGTCTCAGTATGCTTCCCAGACTGGACTTAACTCCTGAGCTTAAGTGACCCTCCCAAGTAGCAAGGACTACAGTTGCATGCCACTGCTCCTGGCCACTAAATAACAGAATTGTTTTTGTAGTGTAAAAATAGTAAGGTTCTGATTTTGTGGATTTTTAATCATGTGACATAATAATTTGTGACTGATTTGTCTACAAATCATTCTTCCCCACTCAAATTGATGCTACCGTCACAATAGAAATGCAGTGGTACTAATTGCCTCAGAGTAGCTAAAGATCATTTTTACAGAATGATTAAAACCAAGATTACTCATAGAAAGTCGCTATATAACAGCATACAGCAGTGAATTGAAAAAATAGTTAACACTAGAAATAAATATCAGAAAGTTTAACTATAAAATGTGTGTTGAATTCTTATTTCTTGTGTTATAAAGAGCACTTTAAACATGGGAAAACACATTGTAAGCTGGAGCAAGAAGCACCAGAGAAAGAAATCTGAGCAGGTATTTTAATCTCAACAGTGTTAACTTGATAGTATTGCTATATAAGAAACTCATTACTGTTCTGCTGATTGGTAGAAAGAGCTCTTATCCTTCACGCCATTCTGAGGTTAGATTAAGCTCTTGATTTAATTAGTGAAGATAACAAAATTTTATCAGAAGTAAAGTGATCAATCAGCTAAAGCACATGTAACACATCACAGAATTGTTTCCTTTGGCCTCCAGAATGCATGAGAACTGCCTGTGATGCTGTCAGCACAAGGTGGAATTTTATTAGATCTAGAAAGCTCAGTTCTTATTCTACCACTATTGTCATAGACTGGGGTTGACATCACCATTCCAGAGAACTCCAGCTAACAGTAGAAAGGTATTCACTTAAAGGTGATATTTGGAAATACTGGTTCTTGTGGTGTGGTCTTATTTTCCAGACTCTGGCCATCCACATTAAGGACCAGATGCAGCCTCTAAAATGCAGTTAAGCTGCCTCTACTAAGAGATTGGGTAACCAAAGAATGGCCACTTACTGTTTTAATGCACTAAGTGTAATTGTGACATGGACTAGAATACCTGAGTTGACATTGTCAGTGTATTCTCTTCCTGTGGTTCAACTAAGCTGAGAAATTGTAAGAAACCACCTAATTACTTCTAGAAATCATTCATCTAGGACTTGAAGTCCAGCGATCAGTGCATTTATTCCATGAAATTATACCAACACAAAATAATGAGAACCTTATTTGGTGAATTTTGCCTTCTTCAATAGACTTCATACAACATACAGGTCATATGTATGTTATATGAAGTCTATTGTATATAGATCTTACAAATTCAATGAGAAAAATTTTCTCTTCATTTCCAAGTACTAGGGAAACATTTCTTGGGAAGTATTTCAAGTTCTGAAAGTGAGCCTTCATCTCTAAAATAATACAAGTAAAAAGGTTGGGATAGCATCACTTCAGCGAGACTTCCCAGCCCTAAAATGGCATGATCTTTTTCCAATGTTTGCTGTAAATGGATATGTGTAACCCCCATTTCATCCTACGAAAGCCTATTGGCTTATTTGATCTCAAGGTGCTAGGCAACAAATGTGACCAAGCAGATGTTTGCAGCCTTAATTTGAGATGTGTCAGCAATGTGCTGGCTACAGTGAAAAAGAGGTAGGTCCCTGAAACACCAGCATTAGAACTCCCAAGGGAACCATCCTAGGGCTACTGTCTCAGGACATGACATTGTCATTAGCAGAATGAGTGTTAAGAATAAGGATTCTCTAGTATTTAACACTTGGATAGAGGAATTCTTTTATATGTCACTGTTTCTTAGAATTCAAAATTGCGTTAAGGTTGAAACTTCTGAAAACATGCTAAGTTTGTTTTTATAATCAATTTCAAAAGAGGTATAGTAAGTTGCAATATATTAGAGAATATTCATCTTTTATTTTGGAGGCACATAAAAAGAAACCCCTGTACCTTCTAGTTTCTATAGGAAAACAAACAGAAGCTAATAGACTTGAAAACTGATAGATCCTCAAATGTGTATAATATCAGAATTTTGAAGGACCGTGTATGTCTTCTAGTCTAAGACTTGCCTGAGGCATGAATTTATTACAGTCTTCCCAAGTGTCATTCATCTAGCCTTCTTAAATATTTTCAGTTATACAACTCACTGCGTCTGAGGGAAAAATACTGATTTTTAGATGTCTCCTAATTAATGATTCCTTCATTAGGTTAAATTGTATTGTATCTTAACCTACCATAATAATATCTGTTCATGGTTATTAGAGCTGGTCACATATTTTTTATGGCCATAATCTAACTTTTATTTATTTTTGCCAACATTGTAGCTGATGACATTTTGTGTTTCTCATTTAGCTTGTAACACTTCAAGAAGCAAAACTGCTACTAAATGAAGATGATTACCTTATTAAAGCTGTATACGACTATTGGGTGAGAAAACGTAAAAACTGCAGGGGGCCATCCCTCATTCCTCAGATAAAACAAGAGAAAAGAGATGGCTCTACCAACAATGATCCTTATGTTGCCTTTCGGAGAAGAACAGAGAAAATGCAAACTCGAAAGGTAATGTGCAAATTAGGTTTCATTGAAGGTAGCTTAATAGTATTTAAGATCAATAGTTTTTTTCTAATAACTTGAATAATTTTGAATAATTTGAACATAATGGAAACTAATGGCATTGATGACTTTCTATAAGAAATCCTACTTTTCTTCTGATACGTGGCCAGACATGTTATCCATTGTGCCACTGGCCCACTGCAAGAAATCTTGCTTTTCAGTAGCTTCTGTTGGCCAATTGTTTATACCATTTATCTACTGCCTGTGCCCTTAATGAATCTACCGATCATATCATTTTATGCTTGTAGTTGAAGTGATATGAGGAATTTTGCGTCCTTATGCACCTTGGAAGTTTTGAGCTCTTCAATAAGCTAAATATTCTGTCACAGATCTCCCGTGTTTTGGAAGCTGAGAATTTGAAATAATATTACTATTCCTTGTTGCTCACTTGAGACCTTACAATTCCTTGGAAACCATATTGTAGTTATTGTAGTTCTTGCAAGTCAAAATGCACTTTGCTGTGTCTAGCTACTATAGGGTCATGGAAAGTAGGGAAAGGTTCATTTTCAAGCCTGTTCTGCAAACAGTCAAAAGTAACAGTGGAATCTTTCTCCTTTTCTGAGTTGTCAGTTGTGTCAGATTTCAAATTGATGAGCTTGTTCCCATCTGGCTTTCAGAAGCAGTATGAAGCAGAATTTTAACTAAGAGAAACAGGATCTCATACTGTGGAATGATATAGTATAGAGGAAAGCACTATTCTAGAGGAGTATTCACTGCCTTACATTTCTCATAATTAACAGTAACACACATAGTAATATGTTCTCTAATATTGCAAAATATCAGGAACGTATAAATATAAAATAAGGAACTATAATTGGAGGCAGAACATTTTTGTGGATTCTCCTAACATTGAAAGCTTCTCTTTGTCAGCTGTTAATATAACAGCTGAGGAACATAACAGCTGCCAAGGATAGTATATTTTAGGAGAAACTCTCCTCCTGGTTAATAACAAGAATTTCTATAATTCTTGAGGATGTAACTTTTTAAACATTAGAGGATGGATTTCCCAAGTATAGATAACATTCCCTAACCCAGACTTGAATTTTTAATTTAGCATGCTGGTTCTTAGCTAAGGGAATCTGCAGTATTTTATGAAGATTTGGCACTTTTCCAAGACTGAAACAAGATAAGTTCATAAATACAGTAAGACTTTATAAATGTGGACTATTGGACATGAGGAAGGAGAGGTTTATCTAAATCATTAAAAAACCTGAACTATGAATTGCTTTTTTCAAAAAAAAAAAAAGGCAATATACAGTCATATGTTGTATAACATTTTGGACACCGATGGACTGCATATATGATGGTGATCCCCTAAGATTATACTGTATTTTTACTGTACCTTTTCTATGTTTAGATATGTTAGATATGCAGGTACTTACCATTTATGTTAGAGTTGCCTACAGTATTCAGTACAGTAACAAGCGGTACAAGTTTGTAGCCTAGGAGCAATAGGCTATACCTTCTAGGTTCATGTAAGTACACTCTGACATTTGTACAACAAAGAAATTGCTTGACAACACATTTCTCAGATCTTTGTTTGTTCGCTTATTTGTTTAAGAGATTGGGTCTTACTGTATTGCCCAGACTGGTCTTGAACTCCTGTGCTCAAGCTGTCCTCCCACCTTGGCCTCCCAAAGTGCTGGGATTACAGGCATGAGCCCCACCACACCCACCCCCTCAGATCTGATCCATGTCATTAAGCAACGCATGACTGTAATTAATTACAGATATATTGCAAAACATAGACTGTTAGCAATGCCTTTTGAAGGAAAGCTATTACTGGACTTTCTTTAGTGAATGGGTAGGAAATACTTAAGATTAGCAGTATTTATTGGCATATTGACAATATTTTCTGAATGTTAAAACATGTTTTATTCTTCTTTTGTTCTAACCATTAGAGAATTGCTAGTAACTGGTTCTTGTGTTTAGACATTTCTTCATTTTGTGATCACTAATGTAGGTTTTCCTGACACGCTGATTCTTACCCTCTCTTGGTTATTTTTCTATTTTCCTCTGTAAAGAGGTACATTTTCTTTTCTGATGCTCTTTACTTTTTATTCCTTTCGGTTTTCAGTTGTAGGACCAAAGACTATTCAACTGTCATTCTCACTATTGCTAGTTAGAAATGTTTATGTGTTTTGAAATGAGAAAAATGGGAAAGCACTCAAATAAATACTCTTTAGGAGGTGGCAAGCATTGGGGTATGCAAAAGTGACTACAACTAACAAAGGCTCTCTGTTTTCTATTTCCACAAACTTAAAAACACTTGTGTAGTTGATGCAAAGGCTAAAAGGTCTTCTGAAATATTTGTTTGGCTGTTTAGAATTTAATTTTAAGTTGCTGAACTAATACTTAGGAACATGTGAATACTTTGGGGCATTCTTAAATGAGATAGTCTTAAGGCATCGGCATGTCTGAATACACTGATTGGGAAGTCCTGGATCAGCATATATTTAACCACATAGGTAGAACTCTTAGTGTCTGTGCCCTCTTTTCTCTTTCTGTGAGGCCCAGAAGAAGATAGTTAAGAGAGGAAATTCCCAGGGTAGTGGTTGTCACTTCTAGCTACTGTACAGCCTTGGTCATGAAAAGATGTACAGTTTATTCTAAAGTGTAGCAATTTGAGAACCACTTCCCTAGAGATTTGGCAGTAAGTACAGAACTGTAATATGTAACTGTATTAGGAAGAAAGGAGCTGGCCCTGAGCGGAGATGATTATGAGAAAAGGAGTAAAGGGGGCAAGTGGATTTGAATACAGGGAATAGGGCCATCTCAGAAGAATAGAAAAAATGTCAATATGAGCTATTAGTTTTTAATCTTCATATAGTTAGGAATAGATATAGATCTATGCATATATGTGCATACATATATTACATACATATTTCCTAGCTCTCTTCACTGAAAGTCTCTAGAAGCAGTGACACCCAGTAGAAATGGGCATGTCTAGGATGTAGATCTTGATTTTAAATACTGTTTTTCAGCCAGGCACAATGGCTCACACCTGTAATCCCAGCACTTTGGGAGGCCAAGGTTGGGTGGATCACCCGAGGTCAGGAGTTTGAGACCAGCCTGATCAACATGGAGAAACCCCCATCTCTACTAAAAATACAAAATTGGCCAGGTGTGGTGGCATATGCCTGTAATCCCAGCTACTTGGGAGGCTGAGGCAGGAGAATCTCTTGAACCTTGGAGGTGGAAGTTGCATTGAGCCAAAATCGCACCATTGCACTCCAGCCTTGGCGACAAGAATGAAACTCCATCTCAAAAAATATATATACCGTTTTTCATTAAAGGGAACCAGGGCTCCTTAGGAAAACTATTTCACATCTAGGGCTGGAAAAAACAAAGATAAGCCTGGAACAAACGTTTTGTTATGCCAGAAAATAAGAAAATAGTTGGAGCCATGTCAGAAGGATGCAGGAGCCAGCTTAAAGGAGGACTCCACTGATAAGAGCTGGGAAAGTTTGAGCATCAAAACAGATTATGAAAGTAATGAATTCTACCCTATAGAGTAACCCATGAGTCCATACTGATGTGGGCGGGCTGGTGGGCAAGTAGATGGGTAGACAGTATTTCCTTACAGTAGATTTCCAAACGTGTAAGTGTTGGCAGAATGATGGAATTAGAACATCACTATTTGGCAACCACTATAATAATACAGATGATTGTTTGAGGCAAAAGTTAGAACTAATGGATGTTAAACTTAAGGGGGAAGTTTGATGATAAACAAGATACTGCTTATCTAGTCCTACAACATACTTGTTAATTAATTAATTTATTATTTTGAGATGGAGTCTCGCACTGTGGCCCAGGCTGGAGTAGCACGATCTCACCCCACTACAGGCTCTTGTCACAACATCAGGGTAATTTTTGTATTTTTAGTAGAGACAGGGTTTCTCTACGTTGGCCAGGCTGGTATAAAACTCCCGATCTCAAGTTATCTGCCTGCCTCGGCCTCCCAAAGTGCTGGGATTACAGGCATAAGCCACTGTGCCTGAACTAATCTACTTGTTATTTTAAAAGGGAAAAATAATATTTAACTAGGGCAACCTGAGAGATGCCATCTTAAACAATCAAAGTTAATAACGGTAATGGGACAAATAGTATCTTTTAACTACTAATATGAGAGGGATACAATATCCCCTTTGTGGTAGTTGTACCAAAAATACATAACCTGAATTTAATCATGGAAAAACATTAATGAAACCCAAATTGAGGAATATTCTACCACATAGTCTCTACTCTTTGAAAATGTTAAGATCATAATCACTAAAAGATAGAGAAAACAGTTATAGGAGATTAAACAAATTATAGAAGACTAAAGAAACTTGACAACCAAACATGGTTTTTAATATGGAGTCAGATCCTAGACCAGGAAAAAAAATGTATTGTTATTATTTATTTATTTATTTATTTATTTTTTTAGATGGAGTCTCGCTCTTGTCACCCAGGCTGGAGTGTTGTAGGACTACATAAGCAGTATCTCGGCTCACTGCAACCTCCGCCTCCCCGGTTCAAGCGATTATCTTGCCTCAGCCTCCCAAGTAGCTGGGACTACAGGCATGCACCACCATGCGCAGCTAACTTTTGTATTTTTAATAGAGACGGGGTTTCACCATGTTGGTCAGGCTGGTTTTGAACTCCTGAACTTAGGTAATTCACCCATCTCGGCCTCCCAAAGTGTTGGGATTATAGGCATGAGCCACTGCACCCAGCTAAGAAAATGTATTATAATAAAAATTGTTATCTTACTGATGTCCTTTATAGCAATAACTGTATTTTTTGCTATAAAGGACATTAGTGGTGCAATTGTTGAAATATGAATAAAGTTTACATGTATAAAGAAATTAAGTAATAGGGTTATGTTAATGTTAATTCCCAGATTTTAATAATTATACTGTGGTTATATGTGAATATCACTGTTTTTTGAAAAAATATATGAAAGTATATAGAGATAAAGGAGCATTTTATATTTTCAACTTCTCGAAATTTTTCCAAAATAGTACTGCTGATAATTTATAGATGTATGTGTTTCTATTCATACATATTTCTGTATGCACATACAGAGAGAGAAAGCAAATGTAAAATATTAACCTTTAGGGAATCTGGATGAAGATACATGAGAATTCTTCATGCTCTTTTTGTAACATTTTGTAAGTCTGCAACTATTTCAAAACAAAAAGTTTCTTTTTAAAAAAAGAGGACCAAGACTGGGGAAAGGAAAGTTAAGGGTAATTATTTGGGCATGAAGAGAACAGGGGGCAGGGGCAATGGCTCATGCCCGAATCCCTGCACTTCGGGAGGCGTAGGCGGGCAACTCACTTGAGGTCAGGAGTTTGAGACCAGCCTGGCCAACATGGGGAAACCCCATCTCTACTGAAAATACAAAATTTAGCTGGGTATAGTGGCAGGTGCTTATAATCCCAGCTACTCAGGAGGCCGAGGCAGGAGAATCACTTGAACCTGGGAGGCAGAAGTCGCAGTAAGCGTAGATCATGCCACCGCACTCCAGCCTGGGCAACAGAGTGAGACTCTGTCTCAAAAACAAACAAAACAGTAACAACAGCAGGATATGAATAAGACAGGGTAGAAGAGGAGTCCAAGAGGAACACTTAACTGAAGAAGGGAGCTATCTAAAAGGCTCTGGTGCACTTTTGAATATTATTCAGCTGCCACCTGGCATGTAACCTTGTATTATTATCTGCCTTATGATTCTGTGTTATCTGTTTTCTGTCTGTCATCCTGACTAGCTTCTAAGCCTTTTGAGGATAAGGCACATGTGCAATGCTCTGCACAGAGTAGGCACTTTAAATAGTTGCTGTTTATAATATTATTTTTTTTAATTGAAAGATACTGCTGCCTGCTTACCAAAAACAAAAATTGTTTAAACATATGCTTTAGATTTTACCTTTTGTCACATAGTAATAAAGGAGAAAAAGATGAATTTTTAAGAATTAGACAAAAGGATGACTTATTTTTAATATTCTATGTGGAGTACCATAATGGGACTTTGATTAGGTTATTTTTAATGTATTACTATTATTTTTCAAATGCAGGAAACTATACACAAAAAGAGTATAACTTTGAATTTTTCTCAATTGTTATTTGCTCTTTTATAATCCTGCCATATGAAACCTCTGGTATTCTTTGGGTTCTTTCTGATGTCATTTTGAATTATTAACTCAAGGAATGAATGATTGCTTAAGTGTACAGTTCACTCTGGATGCACAGATTGGAGGGGTGGTAGCGGTCTATTTTTAAACAAATAGTTCCATGCCTAATACTAAAGAATCTTTGGATGTTTGATTTAAGCAAATAGTTTATATTAGTAATAATTTTTATGCAAATAGATGCTGTTAATTATGACTTGAGCATTTTCTAGTTATGTAGCAGGGCTTTCACTTTGTATAATTAGTTGAAAAGCTAATAAACAGTGTTCTGAAATTCAGTATTTTTACTAAATCTCTTTTCTACTCAGCAATGGGATGTTACATTACATTGAAAAATGATAATTTGATTTCTTGAAATGCTTGTTAATCCTACTCAGTTTTCTGAGTTTTTGAAGTGAAGCTTTACTGGTCATTGTTCATGTTCACATTATAGTACAGCGTATCAAACCATCCAGCCCCCAGTTACAGAGCTGGATGGATGGATGAATGGATAGGGACTCATTTTAACTGTTACCTTGATCTGGACAAAACTGTTCCTCTCTGTTATTGGAAAAATACCTTCCTGTAAATGACTATACTATATTTTCCAATACCAGGTTTTGTTTCAGGTGGACATTTTTAAAATTTGTTTATATTGAAGTTATCTCTATGCCATTCCACCTTTTCAACAGCTGTCAACATTTTTTTTCTGAGTATTTATTGAGAGATACTTACTTATACTTGTATTTTCAGAATTAGATACAGATTCTCTCATGTAGGTGCTGTTCAGATTTTTTTTAACATTTTATTTTTATAGGGTAAATTCAGGTCTGCTAAGAGTTTGTTGAATAAAGCCAGAAATGTAGATAACTGGGTTGTTTATTCTTCTAAAATTATCATTATTTTTAATAGAATCGTAAGAATGATGAAGCCTCTTATGAAAAGATGTTGAAACTGAGACGAGAATTTAGTAGAGCCATAACAATTTTGGAAATGATTAAGAGAAGAGAGAAAACAAAACGAGAATTATTGCACTTAACCTTAGAAGTTGTGGAGAAAAGGTAACATTGCTCCTGTTACAGCAATAAAGTGGCAACTTTACCAAGTGATGGGCAAAATGAACCAGAAGATTTTTGGGCGGGGGGCAGGTTAAGCTTTATGACAGTTGATATTGATTCTGTAAGAATTTATATTTTTTAAAGATTTGTGGTTACTAGGTTGTTTTTTTCTTTTTATAGATTAAGTTATTCAATTTAGATTGCAGCCTTTGGGAGAGTTTTTTATATACTATAGATCCTATACTTGATTTTGTTTTGGCAGAATCACCGAATTTTATTTAGAAAAGAACTCTGGTGATCATTTTGTTTACCTCTCTGTATTAAAGTTTCTATTAAATAAAATGTGAGGGAAATGAGTATTGATTTTATTTTCCGAGTAGGTAGACTTTTTTATTCCTTTTAGAAATGTGTTCTCTGGTATATTTTCCTACAAAATTAAAAAGATTAAACGAAAACAGAATTTTGTTTGATTCCTGAAGTAAGCATTCCAAACATTTCTCAGTGCTTGATTATATAATGTATGTAAGAAATTTGTTTTCTGTGTACCTTAGGGGATTTTTTAAGTTTTTTGGTTTGTTTTGTTTTTACTAAATCTCTGGTTGTTTATTCCTGTAAATTTTGTCTTTTAAAAATAATTTGATTGTTAGCTCTTTTTGACTAGATGGCTTCCAACTAATGGAGGTATCATTTATTTTCCTTCTTTATTATTAAACTATGCAATGTTTTCTTATATTTTGTTATTTTTTTCAAGATATCATTTGGGAGACTATGGGGGTGAAATCCTTAATGAAGTGAAAATCAATAGATCAGAGAAAGAGTTATATGCCACTCCAGCAACTCTTCATAATGGAAATCATCACAAAGCTCAAGAATGTAAAACTAAGGTGAATATTACCTGGGAAGAAGCATGTATGGTAATGTTGATCAGATAATTATTGATTTCTGCAGTTGTCTTAATATGGTTTGAGTAAGGAAAAAGCAGTTAACATGAATTTAGTTCTTACCATTTGCCAGGTACTTTGCTAGGAGTATTTATACACATACTGATCCATTAATCCTCATAACAACCCTTAGAGGTAGTTGTGTCTTTGTGACTTCTAGATATGGCTAGTAAGTGGCAGATTCAGGGTTTCAGTTCAGGTCTAACAGTTCATCACTTTCAGTATGCTATCTGCCTCCCTAGAGAATAAGGGTAATTAAAGTCTAGTTATTATCACTAACCTTAGCAAACCTTGCATTGTAATGGAAGGAATCAGCACCTCAAATTAAAGCTTTATTCATTGAGACTATTGAAAACTGTTCTTGTTGTCATCATCATTTCCAGAGCCAGCATTTATCAATTGTTACCTACCTTGAGTGACTTTGAGAAAGTCCTCTAATTTCTGGGTCACAGTTTCTTCCTAATAAAAGAGCCAGACTCAGTGGTTATTTTAGTCACTTGGACTAGATAACTGTATTTATTCAGTCCTCACTTGGAACATTAATTAAAGTATTTAATTGGGAACTAGAAAAACTAATAAAGCCTTCAATTTTAAGGAGTGTGGATTTAAATAAGAAGCAAGTATTGACTGAAGCCTCTAGACATAAAGGCTTACTCTGTAGCAGGATTTTTTAAAAGACCTAGGATGTTTGTGGAAAATTCATCTTTTGAAAATGTACACAGTTCTCATTTTTCATGGGTTGATTCTTAAAGGTCAGGAAAGAGTGTGGAGCAGGAAGACTCCTTCATTCAGTTTATGTCAATTCAAACACCAGAGTTCTTTCTTATTAATCACAGGCATCTAGCCCACCATCCTTATTCTCTCTAAATCTCACTTGCCTCTATAGCCAAAAAAGTTAATGCAAATGTCATTTTGTAAATTATTTTTAAAAATCCATTTTATGTCAACCAATGCTTTTTTAGGTATGTGATTGTTAAGCATTACAATATGAAAATCTTAACGTATAATCACTGACTGAATCAGCCCTTATTATATATTGATTCTTATTTTAGATCTCCTCTGAATAAACACTCAGCCTACCTAAACACTAACTTTAGGGATTTGGTTGCATCCATTGTTGTCCTACTCCATCACACATGTTTAATAACTATATTTACTTTGTCACATATCCCACTTTAAAATATGGGAAGTTTCTGAAAGTTGGGACTGTCTTTTTGATGTAATAGTTATACCCATTGTATGAAAAATTTTATATCTCACTATAATTTGCCTTACAAGCAATATTTTTATTGTGTGTACTGTTTTTGACCCTAAAGTAGTTAACATCTGGACTACATGTGGAAATGTATAAATTTTGTAGTTTGTACCTTGGTGCTTAGAACATGCTTTTCCAACTTTTAAAGTGGCAGATTCCTTTTTATTAAAAGGAATGCCAGTGTGTTAAAACAGTAACAGAGCTGCTCTGTTGAGGGGAGGTGGGGGCTGGAAACCTACCCCTTCAATCAGTGTCTTTGCCAGATGGCCTCTCAGGAACCTCCACAGAAGCCTGGGGGACTTCAGAACAGTTATTGTTCAGTTGCTGCAGTAATTATACATTCTAAAAAGTGAGGGCTTTTTTCCTAGTTAAGCTTGTTTTTCTCAAAAGATTGCCATCCATAGAACAGACATTTTAAAAAATTGGAACTAAGTGTAAAAATAATAAAGTCATGATCCAATTGAAGATTTTAAAAAATAAAAATAGTTGTTAATTTTGTCAATATAGTAGATTTAAATAAGAATTGAATTTAAATACCTTTTAAATACTGGATTACATAATAGAGGAATCCAAAAAATCACTCACATCTTACTTTTAAATAGTAATAACAATATTAAAAGCAAATTTAAATACATAATTATTTTTCATCATAAGTTGCAGAAAGTAAAACGTGTTTCAGTTTATGAACACAGAATAATTTTTGCTTATTAAAAACAAATAAAATCACCTCCTGGGTAAAAATGTATGTTTTTCAAAGAGCAGTATAGTTTTTCGTAATTTCTAAAATTATTTTTATTTTTTCCTTTTGGGGGAAAAATCGTCATGTAAACAGCACCCTCATCATTTGTCTTTGAAAGAAGAGGCTTCTGATGTGGTTCGTCAAAAGAAGAAGTACCCAAAGAAGCCTAAAGCAGAGGCTTTGATAACATCTCAGCAACCCACTCCTGAGACATTGCCTGTGATCAATAAGAGTGACATTAAGCAATATGACTTTCACAGCTCAGATGAAGATGAATTTCCACAGGTGCTTGTTTTAAAACTATTTTAAAGACATTTCCTCCTAATCTTTTATATTGCTATATTTTTAAAACAATTGCCATCTTAGAGTTTTTATTCTGCTTTGTTCCCCTAATATATATAGCATAAACATTTCTATATTATTTATATAGCCACTGAAGTGGTATTTCTCTGTATTATTTTTCATCTATTGTATAGAATTTACCCTCTTGTGAGCACATGGTTTTCAGTTTTTCCTTTTATAGAAACGAATGTACATCTTGTCCCTCTGTATTTAAAGTAGATTTTTGGAAATGGAATTACTAGTTACTAACTGAAAATTATAAATATTTTAAGACGGTTAATATATAATTGTAAATATTGAAAATATTCATCAGTAATACTTTCCTTTTTACCATATTCCACCAGCATTGTGTTTTATAACTTTTAACATAAATTTTGCTAATTTGTTAGGTAATGGCTATTTGATTCTAAAAAATATTTAAAGGAACTGATTCAAGTTTTAACTCTTCGGTAAATATTGAAAGTTTTATAGAAAAATGTGTGCAATTAAAAACATCTTTATTTTTATAAGTCTTGTTTTAAAATAAGACCTTTACTTTATATATTAAAAGATCCATTTTTTCAAAAAATATTATTTATCATCTGTTCTAGTGATACCCTCTTTTTAAAAATATAGTGTGGGAAACTTACAGAAAATACTGTAACAAAGACCTTGAACCTACCACCAACTTTATCATAGTTTAACTTTTTGACTTGTTTGCTTTAAGGAAACTTTCTTTTAAAAAACCAACATTACAGATATGTTTGGAAAGCCAGACTGTTTATAAAACTCTTCATTGCTATACCATTTCAGATCTGGAGTTTGCATAAAATGTGTCCCTTTGGGCTAGATTATATTATTTTTACTTTTTTTTTTTCTGATTTAGTTTTTTTATTCAGATAATATTCTGATAGTCATATGCATAGTATTAAATGTGCAAAGATACATTTAATTTTATATTAAGCTCTTGAGGAACGCTTAATGAACCCATACATTACTTTTGTCAGAGGATCATCTAGTTTGACTCAGGCAGAGCTTTGGATAGCCATGGGACATTTGTCAGATGACCATATGACCATTTTGAAGGCATAAGGGATGTAGTGCTCTACAAAATAGTAATTTTCCAGATAGCAAGTATAGGGTAGGATTCTAGGCACAGCATATTAGATGCAACTGCTAGCAGTTTAGCATTGCTGGAGCACAAAATATAGAAGAGGAAAAGGGGATGAAAGGCTTCATGCCTGCAGTAATAGCCAGATAGCAGATAGCCTCTATCTACATTATACATACTGGGAAATTATAATGTTAACTAAGAAAATGACATAGATAAATATGTAGAATAGGCTTATATTGGTGGTACTAATGAGAGGCTAGAAAGTTTTGCTATATATTCCCATCCCTTTAAGAATGATGCTGTCGGCCAGACATTGTGGCTCACACCTGTAATCCCAGCACTTTGGGAAGCCGAAGCAGGCGGATTGCTTGTGCCCAGGAGTTGGAGACCAAGCCTGGGCAACATGGTGAAACCCCATCTCTATGAAAAAAAAACAAAAGTACAAAAATTTAGCCAGGCGTGGTGATGCATGCCTGTAGTTCCAGCTACTTGGGAGGCTGAGGCAGGAAGATCGCTTGAGCCAGCGAGACAAAGGTTGCAGTAAACCAAGGTTGCACCACCATACTCCAGCCTGGGCAGCAGAGCAAGACCCTCCCTCAAANAAAAAAAAAAAAAAAAAAAAAAAAAAAGATACTGTAGGGTGCTGTGACCTATAGAAACTTTTCTCTTATTGGTGGAATTAGTACATCCAGCCTGAAAGTAGAGCAGCATAACTAGTCATATGTTCCTGGTTCATTAAAGGATTTTCATTTCTGCCCCCAAATTCTTACATTAATTTATATAGTTCCCCGTTCCCATCCACACATGAAAATTGCACTTTGAAACATTTAGGTTCTTTGAGTCTTTATATTAGGTCTTAGACAACCCTCATTAATTTTATGGTATTTGCATATTGCTAAAGAGTAAATATTTACCTGTATTTGGGCTTCATTCAGTGAGGCCCCTATCCAGAGTGTAACTCTTATAAAATCAGAATTTTATTACTGACAAGATCATTAAAATAATCATACTTTTTCTTTGTCTAATAAACACGAACAAGGGAATAGGAAGCCTTAGGAGAACACACATTTTAACCAGACTTATGCTTCTGAATTGCAGCTGAATAGAAGTAAAACCCTGCCTCTTGATCGTGCTTCTGATTTTCCTAACATTAGCTTTGTCTTCCTATGACTCAGCCTTCGTTTGTCCCCTGGAATCTATCCCTGGGGAATGGTAGGAGAAAGGGTGATAGATTTTATACACAGAATTTCTGAGACTTTGTGACACTTCCTGTGTATATCTTAGAATAGGGACATGATTTGCAAAGGAACCAAAGTGTAAAATTCACATTTGGGATTTCCTTTCAAATTTCAGGTTTGGGGCTGCATTCCCCATGAAGAAGAATCAGCCCCCAGCTCACTGTTTCTGTGTCTCCCCCTAGGGTTGGTGGAGGTATATTGGAACCTCAAACAAATACCTTTCTCCCCTGGGTGACCCTGCTCAGTGGTGATTACCACAGTTTGGAAATAATATGGAGAAAACATTTTTCCTCTCAAAATAGGAAGGGAGGGATTTGTGGGGTTCAGAAATTTGCGAGTAAATATGGTTGAGCCAGCGTTTGTCAGAAAGAGATGTACTACAAAGCAAAAGTGCGAGACAACTGAAACTTAAGTACCAAAACTTTTTTAAAAATTTTAATCATTATGAGTGGAAATTTATCTAAAACATATTATTTCTCTGCCATTGGTATATCTGTATATTGTTTAATTTGTTTTTATGACATTTATAATAAAGTGTGCTCTAATGGGTCAATGCGACTGCCCTAGAGGTCCACTCAATTACGTAGGTATGACATGGTCTGGGCACAGTGCTTTCTAATAATGTGACAGCTTTCTGAAAGTCTTTATTCTTTTGCTTTAGGGTAGTTGGCTTATCACTTCTTTGTAACCAATCTACTTACTTTAGCAAGTCTTCTTTTCTCTTCTGATTTTCTGCTCCTGATCTGTTAGGTTTACAAAGTAATTTTTTAAAAATGAGTGGGGAGATAAAAGACTTTCCTTTGAATAAAATCTGACCTTTATGACCTTTGGTTTTTGTGTTGTGGTGGTGGTGGTTTCTTTGGGCTATTTATAAGCTGTTTTTACATCCTAGTTTTTGGCTTTATTACGGAGAGATAAAGTTACTGGATAAAAATACACTTACCTATAGGTGAAGTGTAACTGTCATCATTAAATATTTATAGCCATATACATTATTTATAAAATATAGTGGGATGTATACAAACTGTATTAATTCTAAGTCAGTAGCATTTCATGTTTAGAAGCAATTAAGCAATGCCAGGTACAGTTAACCTATAAGAACTAGTCCATTAAAAATAAGGATTTTTAACCATAGAACATTTTTACTGGTCATTGAATGTTTTAGGGAATTCAGCACCTACTGTATATAATATAGAAGTGATTTACTGTTTGTGATCAGATTTAAATTTTAGAGCATTACAAACATTGATCTGTTGACTGTTGATAACTCCTAAATGGAATGCCTTTTTTGTCTAGGTATTGTCCCCAGTATCAGAACCGGAAGAAGAAAATGATCCTGATGGTCCCTGTGCTTTCAGAAGGCGGGCAGGATGCCAGTATTATGCTGTAAGAACTTTTGTGTGTTTGTGGTGTTTTTGTGAACTGGAATTAAAAGGTAACCCTGTCAAGATGACTTAGTCTTGATCTAAAAATGGGAAATACATCAGTACTTTTTATTTAACATCCTTTATGTGGATACTGGTTAAAGATGCTTAAAAGGTACTGAGTCCTTTCAAAGGGTATTGAAATCCTCTTAGAAACTGATAATTCCTCACATTTTAGAAATTTAGTTTCATTTTGGGCTTTAATTATAGCTTCAGCAGTTGTGAAAATTACTTGGTATGTCATTACTAGAATTAGGAAAACCCAGAATTTGTAAGTTGGGTCTAGAACCTTTGATGGCTGCTAGGTGATTATTGAAATTTATTGTTATATAAGCCCATCTTGTGCATACATACCAGTAAGTATCAAAGTAATAATTTTTAAATTTCCCTAATGGTGATGTTTTGTCTAAAAATTGTGGTGGTGGCTTTTTTGGGCTATTTATAAGCTGTTTTAACACACCTAGAAGTTGCTTTATACTATGAAAGTCAGATTATAGCACTCTCCAAGGCTCTCAGATGAAGTGTAATGTAGCCTTGTAAGGATGGCTTTGGCTTTCTTATATGGCTTGTAGAGATCATTTATTTTGTAACATAATGGTAAACATATACACCGATAACTTTTTTAGGGTGTATAAGTTTAAGAGAGGTGATTTGTCTACTGGTTATGCTGATGAGAGAAAGGAAAATTCTTAAGAAAAGGAACAGACGTAGCATGGCAGAATGATGGAGGAAATGGGAAGGCAGGGAACAGGCTGTTTGTTTGTTTGTATGTATGTATATATGTATGCATGTATTTATTTATGAGACATAGTCTTGCTCTGTCACCCAAATTGGAGTGCAGTGGTGCAATCATACAGTTCACTGTAACTTTAAACTCCTGAGTTCGAGCAGTCCTCCCACCTCAGCCTCCTGGGATTACAGGCACACACCACCACATGCTGTTAATTTTTGTATTTTTTGTAGAGACAGGGTCTTGCTACATTGCCCAGGCTTGTCTTGAGCTCCCGATCTCTAGTGATCCTCTTGTCTTGGCCTCCTAAAGTGCTAGAATTACAGGCATGAGCCACTGTGCCACTTGGTTGTGTGTTTCTTAAAAATAAAGAGGAAGCTTCAGTTTGACCCCATAAATGTTGTTTGAAGTGCGATTTTTAGTGAAAAAATATTCTTTCTGGTTTCTCAGTAGGAAGCCTAAAAATTACTATGTAATTTCACCATTTCTACTTTGTACACGAATGTTAAAAGCTGTATTATTTTAAAGATATATTCCTTTTAAAGTATAGTAGACCCTAAATGAATTTATATTTATAGACTAAATTCAGTTTGGGTAATCTTAGTTAGTGAACTTTTGATTCGGTTTTTTGAAATTGAACCTGATTAATAGTTTCATGTCAAAATTTTAATTGTTCTGCTAATGTTGCAGTTGCTTCATTTTTATCGTGATTTAACCTCATTTCAGATTTATTCCATGAGTTTTTCTTTCCTTCTTTCTTTGCAGCCTCGTTTGGACCAAGCTAACCATACATGTGAAAATTCAGAATTGGCAGATTTGGATAAGTTGAGGTATAGGCATTGCCTTACAACACTTACAGTCCCAAGAAGATGTATAGGATTTGCAAGGAGGCGAATTGGCAGAGGTGGAAGGTGAAGTATTTGTTTTCGCCTGGTTTTTGTTTACCATATGGAACAGAAGGCCGAGAGAAAATGTTAAGCTCTGTCAGTTAATATTTAGTTTTATTTTGCTTTTCAGGGTCATAATGGACCGAATATCCACAGAACACGACCCAGTCCTGAAACAGATAGACCCTGAAATGCTGAACAGTTTTTCAAGCTCTTCCCAAACTATAGACTTTTCTTCTAATTTCTCTCGGACCAATGCTTCTAGTAAACATTGTGAAAATAGACTTTCCCTTTCTGAAATATTAAGCAATATCAGATCATGTCGACTACAGTGTTTCCAGCCAAGGCTACTAAATTTACAGGACAGTGATAGTGAAGAGTGTACCTCAAGAAAACCAGGGCAGACTGTGAACAATAAAAGGGTTTCTGCGGCATCTCTAGCTTTATTGAACACCAGCAAGAATGGCATATCAGGTAAGCTGTTGCTGTGTTAAAAGTATATCCTGCTATTCTTTTCTACTTAATTTTATTATCTATTAAATAAATTCTCAGGGTAAAATTTGAAGATTTATTTTCCCACTTTGGAAAGGAATTTTATCTTAATCTATATATATATATTTTTTTCCAACCTAAGAAACCAGATTGTACTGTTGTGCCTCACATTTTAACCAAATTGCCCTAACCAGAACTGTAAAACCACTGACATCTATTTTGTGTGCCTGGTATGATCAATGTAGGCAGAATGCATACAGAGTTCCCTATGGGCACACCGCTTATAAGCTGCCACTAGATCATCATAGCACAGTACTATCTGCTGCTTATGTTAAAGGTAATTTTCATTTTGGTGTGTGGAACTTTGTTTAAATGTAACCATTGCTCCTTGAGAGTACCTTTGAAAACACTTTCTGAAAAATGATTTTTAGAAAACTCTCTATGAATAATTTTTTTTTTTTTTTTTTTAAGATGGAGTCTAACTCTGTCACCCAGTCTGGAGTGCAGTGGCATGATCTCAGCTCACTGCAACCTCCACCTCCTGGGTTCAAGCGATTCTCCTGTCTCGGCCTCACCAATAGCTGGGACTATAAGTGTGCACCACCACGCCCAGCTAATTTTTGTATTTTTAGTAGGGACAGGGTTTCATCATGTTGGCCAGGCTGGTCTCGAACCTGACTTCAGGTGATCCACCTGCCTCAGCCTCCCAAAGTGCTAAGATTACAGGCATAAGTCACCATATCCAGTCCCTGTGAGTAATAATTTTTGTCTGATAGCTTACCTCTAGTTAGATCAGGAAGTTTTTTCATTTTTAAGAGATATATTCAAATTAATTTAATATTTTTATAACATGTACATTGTAAATGTATAAATACCTAGAGAATCTAAGGTACAATTTTCATTTGTTTTCTTCTGTGGTCTCTTTATCACATGTATGGAAATATGTATAATTTATAAACATCTTTATAGTGTATACATAGCATATATGCATTGTATCCCAAGACTAAAATAGATAGGGCTTGACTTACACTGTTGATACCATTTCTTTCTGTATGTATTTCTAAATTATTTCCTGTATGATGCATTTTAGGATGTGAAATTATATTAAACTTCTTTAAAGTGATCGTAAATCACTTTAACTTGAAATTTGATCTCAGTAATGTTCAGTCTTTTTTAGCTACTGAACTGCCTGGTTTCCAACTTGACTTGTACATTGATTTGTTTAAAGGTTATAATGGAAAATTGGATTTGTTTGAATGACTGGAAGTTGGCATATCATTTATCCAAATTGGTTGGTTAATTTTCTCCTAAACAAACTTAAGTAAGGAAAATGGCATCCCATTATATAAAGTTCATGAGTCTGTGAAGTTGAATGAGTGCTTGAAACTGAAATGAATAAATACCTAATACCATTTGAGGCCACAGAATTATTAGAAATCTGAAGATAGAAAGTTGACAAATATTAACTATTTTTTCAGCCAGCTCTAAGACAAAGTTCGGTTTATTTAACTAAATAGGAATTCCTGTACCAAACATTCTCAAAATAATTTTTGCCAAAAAGGGAATTTAAAACATATCATATAGAGGGATTTATAATTACATTTGACCGTAGGCTGATTGTCTTCTCTGCTGATGTATACCATATAAAAAAATGATTTTAATATCTTCCTTCTCAACTTGAACATTGTCAGGTATTTGCAGCTTTCTACTCTACGTTCCAGATAAACTCTAGCTTTAACTTGACTTTTTTTCCAGAACGTGTATATATGTTGTATATATATTGTTATAGCATCAAAACAACATATGTATTGGTCCAAAATATAACTTCATATGACTTAAATAATTCCATTATAATTACCTGTGTGATCCTATGACACTATTATACAACATAAAATAAATATTTAAACTGTTATTTTAGGCCTACATGTATTTCTCAGAGAATTTAAATCACAGATAAACAATGTTAACGTCATAGGCAACAAGATATTTTTTGTATTTTTATCTTTCCCTTACCATTAGAAAAAAGTGTATTTTTGGTGTGTGTTTTTTTCTTATCTGAAGTTTTTTAATACCCTCAACATAGTCCATTTCTGTCTTCCCATAAAAAATTGTAAGGCTTAAGCAACAACTAAGGTACATTAGAATTCAATGTTTTGAAGTCAGGTTTGTCTTATTTACTTATTTATTCCTAAAGTAAAAGATTTTGTTTGAAGTCATTATTCCCAACTGACTATGACCCGTCTAGTCACTGGGACCACAAGGGTTTTGGTTTTCAACAGGTGTCTTTTGTTTTAAAATAATAGGCATGGCAACATAAATACATAATGAAAAAGTTTTTTAATAGCATTTTTTAAAATAATTGAAAACTGTGATAATTTAATGATTTGCACCAGTTATATTGATTATATAGATTTCTTAGTTCTGTTTAGATAATTTTAAGTGATTTCAGTTATAGTTCTGTGAATGCGGATAGGAATTTCCTCATCTACCTAAATAGAAGGAGGAGGGAATTTTAGAAAGCTATATTTTTACTTTTGATGGATGTATATAAAAGAATGGGATCCCCATGCGTTTGCTTTTTTTAATCTCTGTGTCTTGAACACTTTTTCCTTCTGCTTGTTTCTTAGTGGGCTTGGTCATGAGAGCACGTTTATTTTTAGGAGTAACAAGACAAAAAATAAAGTAAGACTAACACAGGATTATATTTTGACCTGGCAGAGAATAACACTGAAACTAAACAGATTGTTACTACTGAATTGTCCATTTCACAGCTGGGAAATCGCAGCAAATGAAGAGTTTAATCAGAAATAGAAACATAATATACATTGTTTATATCACAAGTTCCTTAGTTCTTAAACAAAAATTAAAAAGAGGGCTGTATCTTATGTGGAATTGAGAGCTAGTGGCAAGTAATTTTCTCTTATGTTGTTAATAGTCCTGAATAATGTTTTCCAAGTCATAACCCATGTGTCCAAATATATTCTAGGCTGGGGTGCAGTGGTTCATACCTGTAATCCCAGCATTTTGGGAGGCTGAGGCAGGTGGAACACTTGAGGGCAGGATTTCAAGACCAGCCTGGGCAACATGATGAAACCTGGTCTCTACTAAAAATACAAAAATTAGCCAGATGTGGTGGTATGTGCCTGTAGTCCCAGCAAGTAGAAGCTGCAGTGAGCCAAGATCCTGCCACTGTACTCTAGCCTGGGTGACAAAGTGAGTCCCGGACTCAAAAAAAAAAAAGTGTGTGTGCGTGTGTATTTATATACTTTTTAAGTATATATTTTATATACTTTAAGTATATAAAAAGTAAATTGTGTGTGTATATATATATATATATACACACACACACTATGTGTATATACACACACTATTTTTTTTTTATATATACTTAAAGGAAAATTGAAAAGTGTATACTAGGTGTTAAAACTAAAACTCTAAAGACTTCATTCAAAAGCAGAGATATGTTTTGTCAACTTTTAAGTAAAATAAAAGTATATTATCTTAATTGTAAAACACTTCTCAAATAATAAAAGCAGGTTAAAGAATTGATTGTGGTGAACATAACAATTGAATAACCAAGAGAAATTAATTTGTACATCATTATTTAGGATCTAATGCAAAACACTGTGTTAAATGTTTAAAAGCTGCAAACATCTACAAGACGATAATCCTTACCTTCAAGGAACTTAGCAGCACGTGCAGATATTACCTTCTTCATACAAACGGGGTAATACGTTGAAACTGCAGTATTATTTAACTATTCTTTGGGATGATGTTCTTAAATCCAGAGCTCAAGAAAATATATTTCATATCTAAAAGTGCTTTGCTTTTTCAGATTTGAAGGGACAGATTAATTTACATTTAGTTTTAGTTTTCACTAATGCATGGTTGCAAATTAACATAATACTTTTTTCTTTTCTTACCTGTCTTAATAAACAGAATAGATACCAGCAGCCTTTTTGATCAGCTTTAAATATCTTAATATTAACAGTTTCTAAAATCATTGTTTGTACAGTTTTCCAAGAAAAATTCCTGATTTTTAATTTCTTCAGTTTCTCTTCACATTCATTCTTAAATTGTCATAAGTGTTTGCAACTACGATAGTTTTAAGATTGGTAATACTGTGATTTAACATCCAGCTAAGAGTTAGGGTTGCTTCCAGAGGTGAGAAATGGATTCAAACCTAAAGGATTAAAATATTTTAGTTTGACTATGAAAGGAAATAATGAAGTTTCAATTGTAAATATTTGACTTGGGTTTTAGAAGTTTAAATGGATCGTTAGTCTTTTTTCATTATCCTCACATCTGTTGGTTCTTCATTCCCCAATCCCCCTCACCTTTCCACTCCCCACCCTCAGAAACTCAGATTATTGGTTAGTTTGCCCTTCAGTGTAAGAGTTACCTTTATAAGATGTATATAGTCCTGGAAAGGAAATGTCAACCCTCCTGGATATGTTTGTCAGCAGAGCTCCATTGGTTTATATGAACTTTCACCTGACTTCCCACTGTAACCCAGATTTGAAATAAGATCCTTCCTCTCTCTACCCTCTCATTGTACCCCAGATCTGTCCTTTAAAACAAACAAAAATTGCATATAGCCAGCATCTCTTTGATAAAGCATGTACAAAAACGCTTGTAACACTCGATATCGTGGCTCACACCTATAATCCCAGTGCTTTGGGAGGACAAAGTGGGAGGACAGCTTTAGGCCAGGAGTTCAAGACCAGCCTGGGCAACATAGCAAGACCCTGCCTTTTATGTTTTTTTGTTTTTTTGAGATAGAGTCTTGTTTTGTCGCCCACACTGGAGTACAATAGCATGATTCCAGTTCACTGCAGTCTCCGCCTCTCAGGTTCAAGCAATTCTCATGCCTCAGCCTCCTGAGTAGCTGGGAGGATAGGCCTGTGCCACCATGCCCAGCTAATTTTTGTATTTGTAGTACAGACGGGGTTTCACCATGTCGCTCAGGCTGGTCTTGAATGCCTGACCTCAGGTGATCCACCCACCTCAGCCTCCCAAAGTGCTGGGATTACAGGCCTGAGCTACCACACCCAGCTGAAGATCCTGTCTCTTAAAAAATTTTTTTTAAAAATACACACTCTTGTAGCAAAGACTGACCTGGTAGATAAAGAAATACTAGATAATGTGTGCTTTTTGACTTTTAAATAAGTTTTACTACCAAATTAGGTATTCCTCATTAAGCTATGAAAATTTGGTCTAGGCTAGTATTTGAAAAATTCTTGGCTTCCCAAGAATAAATCTTAGCCCATTTGAGAAACACTGCATTAGAAGTTAAGAGATGATGAAAAAACAAAGGCACAAGCACAAAAATCCTGTATTCCTACTCTGTTGTGGGATGATCATCCAGAAGATCCAGAGTGTATTTCTGTTTAGATTGTTCTTTTTAGTTTGTCAACAAAAACAATACAAAGTTAACAAAAATTTCCCATATCCTCAAGAATACCTCTGGGCACAAGCTTAGGCACTGACCTAAAGCTTTCTAATCGTTATATTAGGGTAAAACCTGTGAAGGTACCCCGAATATGTTTTTAGTTGATCACTAAGAAGTCACCCTAGGCAGAGCACCATACAGGAACCACACACCTAAAAGGCAAAGGATGAAAATGAGGGATGGCTGGGACCTTTGAAAACAAAGTCTGCTTTCCAAGGATGGTGTCAGATACCTAAGAAAAGGTATATGGATTTATCTGAGGGTTAAAAGTAGACTGGTAATTACAAGATAGGTAATGAGTCAGATTTCTAGAAGATAGCCAGAAAGGTGAGAGGCTTTCGTGAAAAACAGACCATTCTGTATATAACATATCTAGAAATCCAAGTACGTTACTAATGTCCTGAATGACATGTTTGGGTATATAAAAGGGAACCTCCTGTAATAAGTATACTGAATGTGTTATATAGAATGTGTTACCCAAGAAATTTTGCAAAACGTTTTACTTAGGGAAAGGAATACTTCCCATCTGTCTGGAGTAGTGAAATACTCCTACCTTTATAAAACAATCAGATTTATAGTTACTTTTAAATTGATAAGACTTGTGGGCATGTGGTGGGATAGATTTATGACTAGCATGAACTTCACTTTTAAGCTAGCAACTTAAGATCAACTAGTGAAAAGAACTTGGCTTGGCGCTAGGCAAGAGAAGCAGAGAATCTTGTGGTTTCTCTTTTGTACATTCCCACTTGCCCTTTGTGCCAGCATCACCTCACCAAAAGCTGGGTCCCTATCCTGTATCTCATTCTGAAACAGATTTCTTTACTCTATAACTATTACCTCTTCGTGATGTACTTTAATGTGTCCGTTTTAGTAATCCAAAGCAATGTAAGAAATCTCTTATGGATGTATTTCAGTAACTTATGAAAGAAAAAATAGTAGAGAAAGTGCTTTCAATCAAATCTCTACTGCTCCCTTCCCTTCACCTACTAGCAAGTCAACCCTGAGAACCGCAATTCAGTACTGTGTCCATCCTGTTAAAAGCATGCATTTCATACCACTTTTAATGAAGGAGTTAGAAAGGATGTTTTGTATGTGTTCCAATTTTGTGTCATTGATTACTGTTGGCTATTTTTGTCTAAAGGCTTGAAGTAATAATAAACAGTGCTCTAGAAAACTCTGAATGAGGAAAATCAGCTTGTTTCAAGCACAAAATACCTTAATAATAAAGAAAGAGCTAGATGCCAAGAATAGCTGTAACATACTGAGACTGAGGTTAGAGGGGAAAGAAAAAAATTGAATGTAATTTTTAAAGCATATCCATGTTATAGAGTTAAGTTTGTGTCAGTGATTCTCAACCAGAAATGGGATCATAAATGAGAATTTTAATATCAAAGTCCACCTAGGCTTACAAAGGTTAAGAAACACTGACCATGAATCTGAATAATTTGGATTGAGACTAGGTTGGGATTTTCTGAGTTTTCTGAGGAGAAAAGAATAAGGTTCCTGAGCAAATTAATGGTCTCAAGAAGACAGAATAGTAAATGCAGACACCCAAAACAACAGCTAGTTTTATCTGTATCCCTTTTTAATATGTACACAAATGATCATGTGTTCATAAAAGCAAGTAGAACATAGCTAGTTGGCAATATTTTGTTACTTGTGGCCTACCAACCCAAAAATACTTTTTTTGTTGTTAAAAAGTAGCAATTTGGGCTGGGCAGAGTGGCTCATGCCTGTAATTCCAGCACTTTTGGGAGACTGAGGCCATGAATTGGATGCCAGCCTAGGCGACATAATGAGACCCTGGGTATACAAAATTTTAAAAATTAGTCAGGTGTGATGGCATGCACCTATAGTTCCAACAACTCACTACTCAGGAGGCTGGGGCAGGAGGATTGCTTGAACCCAGGAGTTCAAGGCTGCAGTGAGCTATGACTGCACCACTGCACTTAGCCTTGGCAATAGAGCAAAACTGTCTCCAAAAAACAGGAATTTGTTCTTTCTACAAATTTAGATATATACTTTATTCTGAATTAGATTTTATCCATTGACTTAAAAGATTTTAGAAAGGAAAAAATTCTCATTCTCATTTCTCTCTCAGTTTTGAAATAGTCACTGAAAGTATATGTGCTGTTTGGTTTATTCCTCACTTAATGTTAATCACTGTGCCTCTTACCTTTTCCTCAGAACGTACAGCTTAACTCTGGACACGCTTGACACTGGACTAAAGGACTGTTGTAATAATAACAGATTCCAAGTCCATTTCTTTTGAATTGGTGTACTATACACATAGGACTTAAACAAATTTATTTGGGTTTAATTTAAGATTTTTCTTTCTGTCTTTGTGTCTAATAAACTATTTTTCATCTCTTTCCCCAAGGTTTTCAAACAGCTGGAAATTCATGAATACTTCACATTTTCATTTGAGTTTGAAGATTGTAAATTTAGAATTTAAAAAAAGTTTTTCCTTTAAAAATAGAACACTTGCAGTGAATTTAACATGTGCAAAGAAAGACATTTGATTTTGTTGGTAATTCAGTAAGATAACTAATATGTACTTCAAAAATACAGGTAATATTAAAATTTTAGAATGAGCACTATAATAGCCCCAAGGTGTTGAATCTTTTAAAAATAAAATTGCTATCTAAGAACTGTTTTCCCCTTATCATCCAATACAAATTTTAATGATAATATTGTGGAACAGAAATGAGAGTATATCTAAAGCTTTGTTCATCTCTGGGGCATAAATCCTTTTTCATAGAAAATAGACTATAACTTGTTGTTTGTCTAGTTTACCATAAAAATTTTTTTTAATTATTCATTTGTGATTCTACTCAACAGAAAACTTGGGAGAGATAAGTAAGCTAGATTGAGGCTGTAGTTGCCAATCTAAACTCTTTTAGGGTGATATTGATTAGGTCACTCAATTGCATGTAAAGGTTGATTATTAATTGATATTTCTTGTGTCTGTCGTTTTTTCCCAGCTACATTCCAAGACTTTGTAACAGACATCCTCTTCTTCATTTGTTTTCCCCTGTATGCACTGTAACTCTTTGTGCAGCATTCTGCATTATAGTATACAGTAAATATTTGTTGATTGAAATAATTAGGAGAAAAGAGGTCAAGCAATAAAGAAAATAGAGCAAAATTACTCTGAAGTACATGTATTCTCATGTCATTTAATTTTTCTTGACTCTTAATGTTAACGTACTGACTTCCATGGAAATGGCTTTGTGTTTTCTAAATCAGTTTATCAGATCTACTTAAATATCAATGAATGAAATTTTGTTTACATTTCTTTGAGAAAAATGGTTTTTGTAACTTAGCTGATCTTTTCAACAAATTGTAGATGTCTTGTTTTCATTTGAAACACACTTTTAACACAGTTGGTCACAATAGAATTTATTATATACAATATCTTCTGTTTTCTGAATACTTGTCTGATTTCTATAGATGGATTTATTTTAGGCATTGAAACTGTGGTTTATGGTTATGTTAGATGAATGTTGTTCCCTACTCTGATTTGTAATCAGAGAATAAAGTATTTTCACTTCAATGTTATATGAAACCAGCAGTAAAAGTCATTTACAGTTTTGGAGATGGTCCTGCTTTCTTATTAAGGCTATAACTTAGTCATTATTATTATTATTAGCATGAATAAATCAAAGTTTTTCTCATTACATGCTCATCATAATATGAAAAATTAAGAGTGGTATCAAAGATACTAAGTCTGAATAAATGGTAAAATATTTATGTTAGTACTGTATTATTCAACAAAAACTACATTTAGGCACTTTTGTTAGCATGTGATGGAGACCATAGATACGAGCGTTACACCACACTTGCTGAAAGATTTGCCATTTTCATTAGATTACTTTCTGATAAACCATATTGCGATTTGTAATTGCTTTCATCTTAATTGTGGAATAAGTTTATATTGTATTCTGCTTGTGTTATTAAAAATTCTTTAAAACGTACTCATTTCCGAAATTCATATTCTTTACCAGTAACAGGGGGTATCACGGAAGAGCAGTTTCAGACACATCAGCAGCAGTTGGTTCAGATGCAAAGGCAGCAGCTTGCCCAACTTCAGCAGAAACAGCAATCTCAGCATTCCTCACAACAGACACATCCAAAAGCACAGGTAAACTTGTTGTTTCATCATAGTTATGTCTGTTTCTTTCATCATTACGTAGCTTTGTTCCATTTTAGTCAAGTTCACAGAAGATAATCTTGGTTTTGCCACTCTTGATTTGAGGGATCTAACCTGAATTTTTTTTTTTTTTTTTTTTTTTTGAGGCAGAGTCTCATTCTTGTCACCCAGGCTGGAGTGCAGTGGCGCGATCTCAGCTCACTGCAACTTTTGCTGCCTGGGTTCAAGCAATTCTGCTTCAGCCTCCCGAGTCTGGGATTATAGGTGCCTGCCACCACACCCGGCTAATTTTTGTATTTTTAGTAGAGATGTGGTTTCATCATCTTGGCCAGGTTGGTCTTGAACTCATGACCTCATGATCCTCAGTCTTCCAAAGTGCTGGGATTACAGGTGTGAGCCACTGAGCCGGGCCCTCACCTGAATTTCTTTTCAGTTAATATACGTAATTTCAAGTGGCTAGCTTATAAACTAGTCTCAATATTTTGAGAAGAGTGCTGGAGCCAAATATGATATTTTTAATTTTTTGAAGGGTTGTTAAGAATTTATAGAACTAGTTACTTATTTAGTTGTAAGAATCATTCTTCACTGCCACTCCCCCAAAGAAGACTTTTTTTTGAAAGATACAGCTTTCCTAACCACTTTCTAAACTATGTGTTTAAGTGCCATGTGGCTGTGCTCCATGAGCTGGGTGGTAATTCACTTGAACTGTGAAATACATTTAACAGCATAACCCCTTGCCGTTGTGAATCACATTTCCCTATAGAAGAAAATTGCAGCCAGGCACGGTGGATCACTTGCAGTCAGGAGTTCAAGACCAGCCTGACCAACATGGCAAAACTGTCTGTACTGAAAATGCAAAAATAAGCTGGGCATGGTGGTACACGCCTGTAATCCAAGCTACTTGGGAGGCTGAGGCATGAAGATCACTTAAACCCAGGAGGTGGAGGTTTCAGTGAGCTGAGATTGCACCACTGCACTCCAGCCTGGGTGATGGAGTCAGACTCTGTCTCAAAAAAAATAATAATATAAAAGTTTTTAAAATGAAGAGGAAAATTGCCACTAGGGGAAGTTGTTAGTAGACACTACTAAATAAAGATGCTAGAGATAAGAATAAAAATACTTAATAAAACTATAATTGCCAGAAGAAACCAGCCCTGCCATCACCTTGATTTTAACCCTGTAAGATTCGTTGTGGACTTCTGGCCTGCAGAACTATATGATAATCAGTTTCTGTTTTAAGCCACTAAAAACAAAATTAAGAAATATATTTCACATTTGAACCACCTGAAAAAAATAAAGCTTGCATTTTAGATCTTAAGTTTTGTTGCTCTATAATTCTAAAACAATAATCTATAACCATATCTATAATTCTAAAACCATATCTATAATTCTGATAACTGAGGTGTACTCAATCTTGGTTGTATTTTGTGATCTCTCAGGCTAGAATCTGCCCATTGTGGTTCAGCCCATTCTGAATGGGTCAGTACACTGACTTTAAAGATCCTGACTCCAATAACATGAAAATCTCAGTGACCCTGGAACCCAACACTTTGTGACATCAAGATGGATCTGGGACTTGCTGGGGGACTAGGGCTATAGGATTTAGTAACCAGTTTTATACAGAATGAGGGAGGAATGGCCATTTAACTTGCTTTTGTTTGCTTGTCTGAGTCTCTTGGTTAACCAGCCCAAAGTATTTTCGGCCTGCTTCAGGATTAGGCCAAGATACATAGGTGTATACATTGTGACAAAAATGACTGTTAATCATCTCTATGATTTTATTTTACCTGCATAACTAGCTTGTCAAGCATTTTTAAAAGCATTCATTAATATTTATTGGAAAAATTAATAGAATGTTAAAGGTTTGGGTTATTTAGTCCCTGGTTCTTTCTCAGAAATAACTTCTTTCCAGTTTTTTGGTAACTTCCCTGCTTCACATGCCAAAAATGGTCTGTGGAATCCTAGATCTCTTAATCTAAACAATTGTAATTGTTGAAGGTTAGAAAGGCAACAGCCTCTTGGGTTTGCCTCATTCCTTAATATGTTCATAAAATCACATCTAAAAATTAGAGAGTTTAACTTGGTTCTTTTTATAGGGCTCAAGCACCTCTGACTGTATGTCTAAAACACTTGACTCAGCCAGCGCCCACTTTGCTGCATCTGCAGTGGTCAGTGCACCTGTTCCAAGTCGCAGTGAGGTAGCCAAGGAACAGAACACTGGCCACAACAACATAAATGGTGTTGTCCAGCCTTCAGGTACAGCTGGGGTTTCACATGGTACTTACTTTTTTGAAGTTGTAATTCAGTGATTGGGAGTACGGTTGTTTTTTTTTTTTCTATCCAAGGGGAAAATGTGCATAAGAAGCCAGTCAGGACTCTTTAGGATTTCTTTGGAAAGATGGGGAGAAACAGCATCCTCCTTGTTTTCTCCCTCATCCATTGCATACATACCTGTGTAACACTCTGCCCTTTCTGCTTTCATCCACATACTGTCAGCTGTCTCACATCTTAGGAAATCTGTTGAGCTGACCATCCCCATTGAATCATCATGCATTGATAAAAAGCTGAAATATAATCCAGGACAGTAATAAATTGGAAGTCAGGTTTGCACTTCCCACTCTTACATACTACTCATAGGCATGCTACCTCTGACTCTCCCCCTGTTTAGGTAGAGTATTACTGTGAAACCATGTCTGCTTCTTAGCACCCTAAGTCCTCAAAGATTTGCTATTCCTGTCATCCTTCAGCAGCCTCTCAGACCTTACGATTTTGCAGTTGTTTTTATATATACGCATGAGTCTGATTGTCCATTCCTACTAATATTCATGCATTGTAAATTCTTAGGGAAACCCAACTGTCATTTCCATCTGTCCTATTATACTTAACTCCACAGTTGCCAGATGTAGGCAACAGGATACTTTGCAAAAAGCCCTTTTATGTAGACCAGTAGAAGGAGGGTGTTTTGGGGAGTTGTAGCAGATTAGTACATTCTACTTAGTGATCAGGAGCTCCCTTTGGAGAGACCGGTATGTGAAAAGTTAACTTGGGATTCAATTCAGATACAAATGTTTGTATTTATTTTTATTATACTTCTAAAGATAGTTTTATTGGTCTCATGATACTAATTGAATGACTTTTTTTCCAGGAACCTCTAAAACATTATACTCCACCAATATGGCTTTATCATCCAGCCCAGGGATTTCAGCTGTACAACTTGTAAGGACAGTTGGCCACACCACTACAAACCACTTAATCCCAGCATTGTGCACAAGCAGTCCTCAGACACTTCCCATGAACAATTCCTGCCTGACAAATGCAGTGCACCTCAATAATGTCAGTGTTGTTTCTCCAGTCAATGTGCATATCAATACACGGACTTCAGCACCATCGCCAACAGCCTTAAAACTTGCCACAGTTGCTGCCAGTATGGACAGAGTGCCAAAGGTTACTCCCAGCAGTGCCATCAGCAGCATAGCAAGGTGTGTGTGTGTAGTTTGTGTGTTTCACTGATTATTCTCCCTTTGTGCTGGCTTTCCTGTGGGAAGGAAAAGAATTTGCTTCAAGCAATGGGTGTTTATTAACAGACTTGATTTTCAGCAGTTACTGAAGATCTGTTTAAAGCTGACTTAGGTATTTGTTTGAGGTGCCTAGTAGGATGCTTAAATGCCAACCTAGTAGGATTGTTAGAGAAAGAGAGAGAGAAAGTCAAAGAAAGAAAAGGACATCAGATTGTCAAATACATCAGAGTCTGTGTTAGAAGCTTCAGTTACTCTTGTGTTAATGTTTTATAGTTTAGGCAGTCTGGAAGATGAGAATTGTTATGATTAACTCCATGCCAGAGCTTAGGTTTCACATCCAAATTTGTGTGTTCTTTTGCATCATACACAAAGGGAAAGTAAATTACTTTATGTATATTAAAAATGAGAATATTCTAGGATTAACTTAAATTTATAATATATTTTAGAATGTTTTTATATTTCATTCTATGACACTAATACTAGGAGAACAATGAATCAGAAAAATATTGATTTGCCTAGGTTAATAAGTACATGATCTTAAGCTTATATAATTAAACTCTAGTGGACAGTAATTTCAGCAATATTGTGCTCCTAATGATTATTCTTTCTGAGTGTCATATGCTTCATCCCTTAAAAAAAAAAAAAAAAAAAAAAAAAAACAAAAAAAAACTTGGCTTGACCTGTGTTACATATTTCCTAAGTAATTTCCCATTGGCTTCTATTGAAACGCTATGTTAAATGATTATCTTTCCTAAGTAAATAACTATAATCAAAAAATTAGGAATTGATGGAATTTCTAAACTGAAGAAAAGTTTTTTTTCATTCCTATCTAGAAATAGTAAAAATGGAAATTGTTCTTGTGAAGTCATGCTTAGTTGTAGTTACACAACAATGTTTTTGTAAATACTAGCTGGTAGCTTCATGTTCTAGAGAGTATTAATGTTTATTTTATTGTTTGCCTTATCGTAGAGAGAACCACGAACCAGAAAGATTGGGCCTAAATGGAATAGCAGAGACAACAGTAGCTATGGAAGTGACATAACCTAAAACATGTGGCTCTGACCTGTGCTGATGGTGTGCAGTCATTCATATTCCAGCTGAATGCAAAAGGCAACACTCTGTGGATCACAGAGCATAACAGTGGACCTAAATGGACTGTAGTATATCGGATGTTAAATCCATATATGATGTATATTTTGTAAAATTGGGAAAATCACTACCTTGTAAAATAGTTTATTTGTATCATCAATATTATTTCTGTTACTTGAATAGTAGATATTCATCATCATGCTTTTGCACTTGAATTTGCAACTGAATGGATTTTAAAAAATAATTCTTTAATGGGATCATGAGCATGAAATGGGATCCTGCATCACTTGTTTTAACTATTTATTTTGCCATGTTTACATTTTGTATCTTGTAAAAATAAATCCAACTTTGTGTCTAAAAAGTTAAAGATTCATAGCTAGGAAATGAAATTCTTGTGATTTTTTTTCTAAAGGAACTGTAAAGTTTTCACTTGGTTCATTTTGTTTCACAATTTGACTAGATGGACTTTTTGGTAAATACTTTAGTGGCATTTCACTGTCAAATATGAAGTTCAAGGCAAAATAGTATTTTCTATTACTGTGCAGGGGAAGGGATGGATCGATACATGCAAATTTAATGTAGTAACTCACTTTTCCATATATTTTGAATGTATATTTCTATTTATAATACCAGTTTATAAAAAATAATTACACAGAAAAAAATGGAATAGGAAAAATTATGCATCTAGCACATTTAAACTGTGCAGATATGAAAATTTTTCGAGGATTACATTTTATCTGAAGGCTGCATATTTTAACTGGCTTTAAAACTGTAACACCACATAAAAGATACTTTACCAGGTATGTATTGCATTATATCATTGCAATAATTATTGGAAGTCTAGATATCGAGCCATCCCAGGTGTTGGGAGGGGGGGAGGGTTGTGGCAAGATTGTCTTTTCAATTTTGGAGAGTTTTCCTGTGGCTACAAGGCAAGTAACGGGTTGGAAAAAGTCTGACTGTAAGTGTTGGACACCTTCATAGTGTAGTGTTTTAGTGACTTTTTTTTATACGGTTCTTGTAAATTAGATACGTGTAGTGGTGTTTCAGAATGTTTGTTTATGCACTAGTTCAGACAACTTTCCCTGTTACTTGTTCTTGATAAGTGAAAACTGCAGGGAAATAAAAAATACATATCAAAACATGGACATGCTGCATATGTGTTTATTTCACAATGTGCACACAGTATAAGTGAAAATTTAAGGGAGATGATAGCACTTAACAGCACTTTTCATGTTCACGTGCTTTCCAAGCATTAATGAAAAGAACTATAGGAAGCTCATCTATGGGCTCTATTGGGTTTCAGATAATCCAATATAAACTACCTTTGATATGAAAGTTCTTAAGATATTTTACAGAATGTAAGTAATTTGCAGTATCGCAGTCATTGAAATGTCATAAGTGAGCCTCATTTTATAAATAGAAGTTTAGAGTAGAATTATATTGCAAGGGGGTTTTGTCAAGTAAGTACTGGGAAATGTAAATATTTTTAATGAATACAATTAAAACCATTTCAAACTTACATAATTTTATACTTTACATTTTTTATATCTGCAGTCCTGAAAGTTGTAAATTGATGTGTCAGTTGAATTAATGGGCCAAGATTTCTGCTGAAAGTGGTTTTTATTCAGGTCCTAAATGTGTAAAGCAATTTATGGTCAAAACCATAGAAAAAAAAATAATTTTGTCTTGGTTGTGACCTGATAGGATCCATGCTCGTTTCTGCCATACTACCTCTGGAGTTACTCATTGCTGATTATATAAAGGAAATGATTTGATTTGATATGTATTATGACTGTGTTCATTCTGCTTATAGTTGGATGTATCTCCTTGCTATTAAGAACTTAAAACAACTTTAGTGCCAATTGCAGAGAAAGCTTTTTTCCCCATTTTACCGAAGTAAAGCATGAAGTGAATTTGCCTTATGTGATATATATGTTATAAATAAGTAAAACAAAAGAACTATCCATGTGTACAGTTTCTGGAGGTGGTGGCAAATCCAGAACTTATCAAAGACTGATGACCAATTGATTTGTTCCTTTTGAAGTAAAATAGAAACATAAGCCTTCCTTATTTTGTTGGTTGTAACTGTTTTCATGGATGGCATTTCAGTTATGTACATACACATTTTCCTTTGCTTTTCAAAAACTTACATGACAAATACTTGTTTCCACTTTATTAAATTGAAGAATAATCTGCACTGGACAGCACTGCTCTCTTAGTTTTCTCAGGAAATTAGTGTTAGTACTCAGAGCTTTCAGAATCTTTGGATAATGTTTTCTTTGGAGTGGATGAATGTGATTAAAAAAAAAAAAAGCAGGTAACTCTCATGTGATAGAATATTCTTAATTCAGTATAGATAACATTTTTAATTATTTTTATTTCTCTGCCTTCTTAAAGAGAGTACCACCCTTTTTTTTCCCAATAATTCAAGGTCATTTTTATGATGTAACTCTTAAGTATATTTGAGGATTTGTTTTCTTTTGCAAAAGACCAAGAAAAAAACATTTGTAGGGCACAGTTTTAAACTAGATACATAACACATACGTATATTCTGACTTTTTAAAACATAGGAATGTATTTGCAACTGTGCTTGGTGTTTTATTATTAAGGTTGTCTTAGGGGTGAAGTAATGGGAAAACAGTAAGGACCAACGTTTCAGAAACTTACCTAGTATGTCATTTCAACAAATGTCGTTCTTCAATAATATACTTGTGACTGAAGTGTTTTGTTGTCTCTTAACTGACGTGGCAAACTTGTAAATTTTTAAAGGTAAGGATATCTCAAGGTTTTCTGTCTATTATATCCTGGAAGATAAGAGATGTTTTTCCTCACTGACCGCAGCATCGTAATAACTAACATCATGGAGCATGTAGAGTTCTCTCTCAATGACTTTTTCATCTAGTCCTAACAAAAATTCTGTTTAGTAATGCTATGTATCCCATTTTAAAGATCAAGAAACTGAATTTTAAGGTTTAGGTAACTTACTTTATGTCACATAGCTGTTAAGTTACTGAGGAATTAAACTTGGTAGTCACCACACTGCTAACCACTGCCTTCTACCTTTAACATGAAAGAAGCTCTCCTCAAATGAGTGTTTATTCTATTTCTCAGTCCACTTGTTCGCAGCATCCTTAGCAGTTTAGACTTTGATTTAGAAGACAGCCTCCCAACTCTTACACCATGAGGCTGAGTGAATTATATCCAACTGTAGCTTATAACCATCCGCTGAGCAAACCCAAACCAATCAGTTTATTCTTTTCTGTCTGCTGGACCTAGCCAGTAAGTACTAAAGCTTTTAAGACAGCAATGAGAGCAAGATCTGGTCCAGGTCTTGGCTGATTTCGCACTTTCCAGATCTCCTAATCTATAAGATGAGCAAGTTCTTGAAACTGTCACGGAGGCCACACTGAGAAGCTTGGGGGAGGTGTGCGGGTGGCCCATGTGTCATTGGTTGCTTATCAAGGAAGTAAATTACGTGAGCTCTAAGGCCGAGCATACAGTTTAGAGCTCTTTATTTTATATATATGTATACTTTTAAGTTCTGGGATACATGTACAGAATGTGCAGGTTTGTTACATAGGTATACATGTGCTGTGGTAGTTTGCTGCACCCATCAGCTCGTCATCTACATTACGTATTTCTCTCAATGGTATCCTTCCCCTAGCTCCCCATCCCCCAACAGTCCCTGGTGTGTAATGTTCTCCTCCTTGTGTCCATGTGTTCTCATTGTTCAACTCCCACTTATGAGTGAGAGTGATAACATGCGGTGTTTGGTGTTCTGTTCCTGTGTTAGTTTGCTGAAAATGCTGGTTTCCAGCTTCAACCATGTCCCTGCAAAGGACATGAACTCATCCTTTTTTTATGGCTGCATAGTATTCTATGGTGTATATGTGCCACATTTTCTTTATCCAGTCTATCATTGATGAGCATTTGGGTTGGTTCCAAGTCTTTGCTATTGTGAATAGTGCTGCAATAAACACATATGTGCATGTGTCTCTATAGCAAAATTATTTATATTCCTTTGGGTATATACCCAATAATGAGATTGCTGAGTCAAATGGTATTTCTGGTTCTAGATCCTTGAGGAATTGCCACACTGTCTTCCACAATGGTTGGACTAATTTATTCCCACAAACAGTGTAAAAGAGTTCATATTTGTCCACCTTGTCTCTGGCATCTGTTGTTTTCCGACTTTTTAGTGATCACCATTCTAACTAGTGTCAGATGATATCTCATTGTGATTTTTTAATTGCATTTCTCTAATGACCAGTGATGATGAGCTTCTTTTCATATATTTGTTGGCTGCATAAATGTAAGAAGTGTCTGTTCATATCCTTCGCCCACTTTTTGATGGGGTTGTTTGGGTTTTTTCATGTAAATCTGTTTAATTTCCTTGTAGATTCTGGGTATTAGCCCTTTGTTAGCTGGATAGATTGCAAAAACTTTCTCCCATTCTGTAGGTTGCCTTTTCACTCTGATGATACTTTCTTTTACTGTGCAGAACTTCTTTAGCTCTCATTTGTCAATTTTGGCTTTTGGTGTTTTAGTCATGAAGTTTTTGCCCATGCCTATGTCCTGAATGGTATTGCCTAAGTTTTCTTCTAGAGTTTTTATAGTTTTAGGTTTTACATTTAAGTCTTTAATTCATTGTAAGTTAATTTTTGTATAAGGTATAAGGAAGGGGTCCAGTTTCTGTTTCCCGCATGTGGCCAGCCAGTTTTCCCAACACCATTTATTAAATAAGGAATCATTTCCCCATTGCTTGTTTTTGTCAGGTTTGTCAAAGATAAGATGGTTGTAGATGTGTGGCATTATTTCTGAGGCCTTTGTTCTTTTCCAGTGGCTTATATATCTGTTTTGGTACTAGGACCATGCTGTTTTGGTTACAGTAGCCTTGTGGTATAGTTCACAATCACGTAGCGTGATGCCTCCAGCTTTGTTCTTTTTGCTTAGGATTGTCTTGGCTATACAGGCTCTTCTTTGGTTCCGTATGAAATTTCAAGTAGTTTTTTAAAATCCTGTGAAGAAAGTGGTAGCTTGATGGGGATAGCATTGAATCTATAAATTACTTTAGGAAATATGGCCATTTTCATGATACTGATTCTTCCTCTCCATGAGCATGGAATGTTTTTCAATTTGTGTCCTCTTTTATTTCTTTGAGAAACACCCTTTCATATTAAAAACTTTCAATAAACTAGGTATTGATGGAACGTATCTCAAAATACTAAGAGCTATTTATGACAAACTCACAGCCAGTATTATACCAAATGGGTAAAAGCTGGAAGCATTCCCTTTGAAAACCAGCACAAGACAAGGATGCCCTCTCTCACCACTCCTATTCAAAATAATATTGGAAGTTCTGGCCAGGGCGATCAGGCAAGAGAAAGAAAGAAAGGGTATTCAAATAGGAAGAGAGCAAGTCAGATTGTCTCTATTTGCAGATGACATGATTCTATGTTTAGAAAACCCCATGGTCTCAGCCCAAAATCTCCTTAAGCTGATAACTTCAGCAAAATCTCAGGATACAAAATCAATGTGCCAAAATCACAAGCATTCCTATATACCAATAATAGAGTCGAATCATGAGTGAACTCTTATTCACAATTGCTACAAAGAGAAATACCTAGGAATACAACTTACAAGGGATGTGAAGGACCTCTTCAAGGAGAACTACAGAGCTCTTAAGTCATTAATATCATCAAGGCTGACTATGAACAATTGTATCAGATCATGTAATGTATCTGAACTTGTGCAGAACTAACCAGTTTCAATGACTACAAGTCTCAAAAGGGCACAAGAATTGTATATTTTTTAGAGGGAGGACAGTGGAGAGAACAATTAAGATAGAATGTGGGTATTCTATTGGAATTTGTTAAACTGGATTTTAATCCCTACCCTGCCATTTAATTGGCTGGTGATTTTCTCATCTTCATATCTCTGAGCTTGAATCGTGTGATGAATGATGGAATTGGATAACATCAAACATCTCTGCCAGCTCTGATGCTATAGGAGTCTCATCTCCTCACCCCCACCCCTCTAGGTGGCTATCTTGCTTTCCAGAAAAACCATCTTTGTTTTGCCAGTGTTCATGGACTTAACAGCACCTTTCAAAAGTATTAGTAACCAATCACATCCTACACACCCTCTTACTACTCCTTTTCCTCTTCCTGTTGTCCAATGGAAAAACTGCTTATTTCAAACATAAGGGCTTTGTTGCTGTTACTTACAGAGTGCATTATATCCAACTGTGGTTGAAATTTTAGCATAGGGAAGATGAAGGTAACACTAAGCCACATACTTCTCTAGCAGTAATTTTTGGCTTGAAGTTTATGTCCTATCAAAATTAGAGTCCTGTGTGTTCTTCAAGATATTGTGTTATTCTCATGAAATCTCCCTTAGAGTATCATTGCATATTTAAACAAAACCCTTATTATACTAGCTGGTTCAGTAACATCGCAGAACAAGATGATAAAATGTTTCTGAACACGGATTCTCCCTCCGTGAACATCTGTTATCCTCAGGAGAGCCTAGGATTCTGCAGTTACTTTTCAGTGCTAAAACAAAAAAGACCGACTGCAGTAACAACAGGAAACTTATTTCACCTTCAGTATACAAATTTGATTTGGTGAACAGCACATTTGAAAGCAATGACCTTTTCCTTTTACCAATGTTGAACACCTTTAACAATTATTGTTTAGAAGAACACTGTGTTCTTCCTCTCTTTTAGTTTCAGGACGAGCAGGGGTCATGTACACACACAGCTCCTATCTTACGAATATCTGTCTTGTGTGCTCTTCTCAATACCATAAGGAGATTTTGGTCAGTGACCAAGTGAACCTGGATTAGGGATCGCCAAGATGTAAGAGTTCAGCTTTTGACATAGGACATCTATATTATCTACTGCTGAGTAAAAATTATGACAAATTTAAAACAGTAGCACATTATTATGTGGGTTAGGAATCTAGCACAAGGCTGAAATCAGAGTGATACCAGGACTGCATTCTCATCCTGTGGCCCAAGTAGTGAAGGATCCACATCCAAGCTCCTCAGATTGTGGCAAAATTCT